GTTTACTAGTTAGTTTATTAGTTAGATTAGTAGTTAGTGTATTTGGTAGATAAGTAGTTGGATACACTATAATTTTAGATACAATTTTATTTTTGGATGCACATTCAATTGTTTATATCTTGTACATTGTCTGCCTGGGTTGTATTCAAATTTGCAGGTATGTATATATACAAACATTGGGTACCCTGTATAAACAAAGCGTCCATTTAAAAAAAAAATAGACTTTCTACGTCGGTTCATACCATAACCGACGTAGTAAACACGTACTCGCTTGAGCGACGAGTGTACTCGCTTGAGCGACGAAAGCTTCAAACAAAGGGGACTCTCGGGTTCCATCTCGCTTGAGCGACGAGTGTACTCGCTTAAGCGACGAAAGCTTCAAACAAAGGGAACTCTCGGGTTCCATTTCGCTTGAGCGACGAGTGTACTCGCTTGAGCGACGAGTATACACTTTTCAACGTCGGGTATGAATAACCGACGTTGAAAGCCTAAACTTTCAACATCGGTTATCTATACCCGACGTTGAAAGTTGAAAGTGTATACTTTCAACGTCACCTGATACAACGTCGGTTGTATAACCGACGTTGAAAGCCTTATATAACCGACGTTGAAAGGCATATCTGTAGCAGTGATTGACCTAATGGAAAATTACATACAAAGGAATAATAGTGCGACGCAAAATTCTGTGTTTATTTACACGGTGAAATGAATGATGAAAAATAAATAAATAATTTTCTTAAAACTACTTTATATTAATTAAAAAATGTCATTCTTTTTTCGGATATTTTTATCTTAATTTTAAGTTATTTTGTATTTAAAAAAATATGATTATTATTTTTAAAATTTAAACAAAAAAAAGTAAAAATAGTTTTACCACAGTCCATATCATTCTGAATTGTATACACAATTTAAAAATAAAAATCGTTTCCAATTTTTACCACAGTCCATATCATTCTGAATTGTATACACAATTTAAAAACTAGATTTTATTTATTTTATTTTAAAAAATAAAATACAAAATTAAATCAAACAATCATCTCTCTTCTATTTTTTTTCTAGTTTTGATTTTTTTTTCATACAAATAAAATTTTGATATTTTTATTCATATTTTTTTTCCTTTCATTACATTTCACTGACAAAAAAAAGTTGATAATCATTATCATTGTGTTTGAATATAATAATTCAATCATTTAATATTTTCTATCTCAATTTTCTGTTTTATATTTTTTTTTTCATTATATACAAAGAAAATAGAGGTTAATGCCCATTGGTTTAGGCATGACAACGGGCGGGCAGGGGTGGGTTTTGCCTCCCCAATCTCCGTCCCCAACTTTTTTAATCATCCCCATCTTCGTCTCCCGATCCCGCAGGGTTAGAAATTAAGTCACCGTCCCCGATCTATATTATTTTTAAAAAGATAATTACATTTATAATAAATTAATTTTACTATCTATTTTTATAAATAAATAAATATTTATAATTTATAATAATTATTAATTAAATATACATTTTTATTTATTATATTTATATTAAAATATGTATGTAAAAGAAATATTTAATTATTTTTTATTTATTACATTATTATTATTATTATTATAATACTGTATTCAAATACTTATAACATTATCATTATTATTATAATACTGTATTCAAACATTTGATTATATATATAAGTTAATTCATTTTTAATTTGTCATTTAAAAATATGAAATATATAGTTTATAATGAAATATTTAATAAGTTAATTATTATTCAATTAGTTCAAAGTAATAAAAGTTTAAATTTTCAATTCTTTTAATCCTTTAAGATACAATTATTTTATTAAGATAAAATTTGATATATGATAAATAAGAATAATAAGATAAACAAATGACATAATAAAACCTAATAAATATAAATTATAAATAAAATAATATTAGTTACTATTAAGATTTATGTAAAATATTTAGAAAAAGATAAAGAATAAAAAAATTAACTTTGTGTTCATCAAATTGATTGAAAAGATTGAAAAAAAATTGATGAGAGAGATTAAGGAAATATGAAAAACCGCAAGGTATAAAAGAGAATAATGTAATAAATTAATTGATATAAAAGATTAAAAAAATTAAAAAATAGGTAGAAGAAAAATAAAAATTGGTAAAATATAAAAAAAGGACCTTATATGTAATAGAAAAAGAAAAGAAAATACTTTTAAAATATTAATATTTTAAAATTTAAATTTAAATATAAAGTCGGGGCGGGGACGAGACGGGGGTCGGGGTGGAGATTGTATTACCCATCCCCGCCCGACTTTTTAAAGCGGGAAAACCCAAACCCGCCCCGCCTTTGGTCAACTCCGGTTTTTCCCGTCAAACTCGGGACGGGGCGGGTCAGTCCCACGGAAACGAGTTTAATTGTCATCCCTAATTTGATTATGGGTGTGTCTCATGGTAATTACTCTTGAATATTTGTTATTAGCTCAATAGTTATGTTGTGTGGATTTCAAATTAACTATATATTAGTAATTAAGTAACATTGTTTGTCAGATTTGTCTATATTTTAGAAGCACATATTATAAGTTAAGTTGTATTTATTTTAATAAAAAGATTAATAAATATTTTTTTCTAAATATAATTTAATCAATAATTTTTAATTTAATTGTTAACTTTATTATGTTAAAAACTGAATCCGATCAATCCAATTAAAAATGGATATAGAAATCGATTAATTATTTTCAAATAATTAAAATTTAATTATATAAAATAAAAAATTCAATTAAATCTTTAGATGAAATTAATTTTAATAAAAATAATAAAATATCAATTTTTATTTTTAATTTTTTTATAAAATATAATTTTTGTATTTTTGATTTCATATTAATAATATTAATTTTAAATAATAATAATAATAATTTTATTATATTTTAATATTATTTTAATTATATCTATAATTTCATTATAATTTATAGTAATTATAATAATGATTTTTACTATTTTTTAATGTAAAAAATTGTTATTATTAATAAACTTATTTTATATTTATTATATTATAAAAATATTATTTTAATAAATTCAATTTGATATTAATAAATTGTAAGTAAATTTTTAAACTTTGAATTCATATTTTCTTTATTCAATAAATTGATTTAATTTTAAACTATTCATTAAATTATTAAAATTTGGTATATCAAATATATAAATGTAATGGATTTTTAGTTACAATTTTAAGATAATTTTTAAAAAATTATTTTATTGAGAGTAGGGGTTTTACTATCATGTTCTTGGTTCGATATTTCCATTTGACATGAACTAATAATATTTGTGAACCAAAGTATCCGCACACGACACGCATGCACAGACATCGAAAATACAACCCAATCTCGTTAGTAATGCACCCAATAAATAAGTGCATTACAAGTGTTTTTGGTGTTAATATTTTTATTTACAATATTCAAACTCAGGATTTTGCTCTAAAAAATAATTTTATTCTAAGATCAACGTGTTTTTTTTGAATTATTTAAAATGAATATATATATATATATATATATATATATATATATATATATATAGTTATTCAATAAAAAATTCATTACCAATATTTTACTGTTTTCAAATATCAAAGTATAATAAAACTTTTCTTCTCCTCATGGTCCTCATGGCCTCACCATCGTGTGATCCCAGTTTTGCCCAGTTCTCCGCGTTTTAAACATGAAGACCAAATATATATCTGAAGTTATTTTTCAAAATTTTGATTATAAATATATAAACTTTAGTTAAATCAGGTCTTAAAATTAAAACTTATTTAAGTTAATAATAGTTCCTAGCAGCAAAAACCATATCTAGATGGTTTAAAACGCAGAAAATGACAGTATATACAATTAAATTTACGCAAATATTCACGCGTTAGAATTGTATTGAACTTCTTTCCAACGCTAAACTGACTATTGACCTGTTTTGTTAATTTTTTTTATTAATGGGAAAACTCTCATAACGTCTTTACAAAGAAAATTTCACACACAAACGTTATAATTACAGGTATAATTACATCGTGTTAACCATTCACAGCATAGAAGGTCAAATGTACTCTCTAAATGAATCACTTTGTTAAATCACACATGTTTACTGAATTCAATTCTCACCTTAACAAGTGTTTAAAGTAACAAAACATACAAGTGATTTTATTTTAACCAAAAGTTCAAAATTAATGTAGTTATTCTGTGTATTTTCAATGATTGAATATCCATTTAGTTTTTAAATCATAAAAAATCAATAATTCATTCTAAATTATAAAAATAGGATTAATTTAATGTTTTTAAACTTGCAGAGTCTATCATCCTCTGAACTATTCTCATAATATTTTTGATAAAAAAGGTGGTCATAATTGTTTCATTAAAAATCAAAATTAAAGTTTTATCTCATTTTATAATAATTTAAAAGAGTTTTTATAGAAAAAACATATATACAATATGAATCTTTAAATAATAAGTTAAAACATATCTTTTATATATATATATATATATATATATATATATATATATATATATATATATATATATATAAAAGGCGTGACTTTGAATATCCTTTAAAAAAAAGTTTGATCTTAATTTTAATAAGAGAATAATGTATAATAACGTGACTATATAAATTGTTTTTACATTTAAAAGTAAATAATAATAATGAATATTATCCTTAAAACAATGAATAAAACAAGTAAAAATCAAATGAACCAGCGGAAGAGTTGTTGTTTCATGTTACATTACCTTTTACCACGTTAGTGCTCCCCAGAACCAGATGGGTCCCCTTGAACAAAAGCCAAGTAAAAATCATTTGTTTGGAGGGAATGATAGCACATTTTTGTTTTTTAATAATGATAATTCTTTCTCAACGTTTTACAACATAAATTATACAATGAGCTATAGTCCTCTATAAATAGCCATGGATGCCCCTTCGTTCCACTCCCAACTTTCATTTCTTTGGTTTTTTTGAAGTATCTAAACACACTCGAGGTCCAATTCTTTTAACATGGATCAGCACAAACTATCACTTCAACTTTTACTAACCCTTCATCTATTCGCATCAGGTAAACAGCTCACACATGAAGAAAATCACAAGTAACTAGAAAACCGAAAAAGAAACTATGGCTGAGAATTAATTAGTAACAAATTGTGGTGCAGGTGTATTATCAACAACAACGTTCACAGTGGTTAACAAATGCGACTACACAGTGTGGCCAGGCATTCTCTCTAACGCAGGAATCGCGCCGCTTACAACAACCGGTTTCGTTCTCCACACCGGTGAGTCAAAAACCGTAACCGCTCCAACCTCTTGGGGTGGCCGTTTCTGGGGCCGCACTCTTTGCACGCAAGACTCCGCCGGAAAATTCTCCTGCCTCACCGGAGATTGCGGCTCCGGCAAGCTCGACTGTGCCGGCAACGGCGCCACGCCACCGGCGACCTTGGCCGAGTTCACTCTCAATGGAAACGGAGGCCTCGATTTCTTCGACGTGAGCCTCGTGGACGGTTACAACGTGCCGATGCTGGTGGCTCCCCAGGGTGGCTCAGGTGATAACTGCACTCTTACAGGGTGCGTTGGGGACCTGAACGGCGCGTGTCCTTCGGAGCTTAGGGTTACAAACGTGGATGGAAAACAGAGCGTGGCGTGTAAGAGCGCGTGTGAGGCGTTCGGGTCCCCGCAGTATTGCTGCAAAGGCGCGTTTGGGTCGCCAAACACTTGCAAGCCTTCGGCTTACTCGCAGATTTTTAAGAACGCTTGCCCACGCGCCTACAGCTACGCGTACGATGACAAGACCAGCACTTTTACGTGCGCTTCTTCGACGGATTACACCATCACTTTTTGCCCTTCCCCTAACGACAATCCCAGGTAAGTAACTTTAATTTTGCTTTTAACTTAAACAGTTTCAAGGGTAGTTTCGTCTTTGACATCGAATATGGACGTTGGGTAAGATGGGTTCGGTGGGAACTGGGATTGACGTTTCACGCATTTTCTGCTGTGTTTGATTTTTTTTGTCTCGTTTTGACGTATCAACTCTTGGCATGGATAACGACAGAGTAACGGCGTTTTATGTGGTCTTTAAAACAAGAAAGTTTCAGTAAATTAACACTGAATGAGATGTTTATTTATTATTATTTAAAAATATATTAATATTAATTAATAAATATTTTTACTATGTATTAGGATTTAAAAACATCAAATCGTTTTTCTAAAATAACAATGTTAAAGTAACTATTTGATATTGTAAAAGGGAATAGAGGGTACATATTCTTAATTTAGCTCAGGAATCTTTAAATGGAAAGAAAACAAAATCTTATTGTTATTGTCCACTTGAAATTAACACTTTGTTGAAAGATCAGTTCATTTGTTGAAAGTCGAAGTTGAGTTTAATATTTCAGGTAGAAAATAGTTGTCAAACTAAACCATATTTCAGACAATCTACTCACCATTCATCACTAGGCATGTACAATAAGTTATGTTTTAAAGAAACAATAATAGATTCATCATTTTTTTTTCAATTAGCTTCATAATCAACTTCTTTTTTTCCTTGAATGCTGGGGAGTCTATCTCCACTAAAAAATAAAAATAAAATCAATGATTAACCTTTTATATTTATATATAGATAGATATATTAGGAAGAATATAACTGATAAAAGTGTAATTACACTTGATACTGATAGTGTAGAAAACATATACAGATAGATGCCAGATTCTTAAATAAATCTTAGTACTATTTGTTTTTGGTCCTAATCAAAGAAAATTTTGGGTTTTGAAAAGGAAAAAAAGAATAGTTTTGAGGTAAATGTTAGTTTGTGTATCTATCTACATTACTTTCTCGGTAGAAAATATCCTTACATAAATATCTATTAAGTAAAAAAAGTTAAGAGGAGTAATATGTTGAAATCATAATATAAACATTGAAATTCCGTGTGTGGTCACCGAGGGAGGGGGCCTTAAGGAAAGTGGCTAATTCAACTATGATGATATAGTTTTTTCCTGAGATCGAATCTCAATGAAATGAATTTAGTATGATATCGTATAATATCCTGCACATGATGATCGCTACTCTTTCGGCAAAACTCGCAAAATGAGGCAGCTCTGAATTAAATAAAGTACTACTAGTACTCAATAGTGTTGGAATCACACATTGATAAGTTTCTTATTTTTTTTTTTTTTTTAATCTTAGAAATAGTGTTCACAAATTTATGTTGCTTGTAATCGTTATTCTGGATTTGCAGTCAGAAATCGTGGCAGGGGCAAAACCCGAAATCAGATAGCGGTAGTTCTTCTTCTGAGTCGCCGCCGCAGCTCAATAATGGCACAATGGTGTATGTTGGTGCCATGGATGAAAGTGAATTATCGTGGTCGGCAGGTACCCATGTGACTGTGAAGGAATCTCAAGCCATTGCTAGTTTTGTCAGTATCACCATTGCTCTTTGGGTCTTGAGCCAACTATGGTAACTACTTCCTCTTTTCCTCCTTCTGCATTTTTCTCAAAACTTGGGTCATCACCCCACATTTCTATACCTAAAAAAATGGTGGGACCCTATCCATCACTTGTCTAGATGACTATGTCCTCATGGGCCACGTGAGTTGGGAAGGGCCCACAACAAGTTGCAACCATGATCACAACAGCATGCGTGCCATTTTAAATACATCCGTGGATGGAACTCCACCACCTTACAACTTACAGTGTTTGTCTTTTTGTCCCCAAAAGCAGAATCCGATGTTGAGAGCTATTGTTATTGTTGCTCAATGATGATAGATAAACAGGGCATGTAAATGAGTCCTTTCCTTGTATCTTTCTTGTTTAGTTGAATAGGTATTCTACAGAATTCTTTGCGTTCTGGGCGATGGATTCATTTATTGGTTAGTAATTCCATAATACATGACCACAAATAGTAAAAGGAATCATGTAACATTTTACTGCCTTTCTACTTTCAATATGCTACTAGCTTGACAGTTTGTTTATCACTTTTAATGACCACACATTTCCCTTCTCATCATTCTTCCTCTCTTTCCCTATCAAATAAAATGACATTTTATGCCTAGTGTATGCAAAGGAGTATAAGAAAAAAATAATACAAATGATACCATACTTTGGGTTCCTTCCTGACTTCATTTGCCTTATCTTTAATTTGACTTATATTTTATTTATTCAATAAGATAAAATTAACTGAATTGTCGGGCCTGAAATTATTAAAAGAAAATTAAGTGTGACGAAAATACTTTATTAAATAATAAATATAGTAAATTATATACTTGTTGTTTTGTAATATAAGAAGCTTTTAAATAATTTTAAAGTGAGTGTGTATACAACAAATATTCTTGGGGAAGCGCTCCGATTGCAAATGCGATAACTCTAATCCATTGAAAAGATAGTGGTGCGGTCCTAGCCACAGTTTGGTTTGGCATTAAGTGGTGTAATCTAGCAATAGTCTAGAACCAAGCGTTTATTAATCTGATATCCGAGACAATTTTATTCTGTCATCGGATTTTGGATCACTCTATTCACTGCCCTGTGGCTGTTGCTTCTTCTACATCTTATCCTTCTTTTTACATTTCAACTTTATATATGGACTACCAAATATTTTATTTTATTTTTTTCATAATTTACACCTACCACGAGTAGCGATTTCTGTCCAACGGTGATAGAGAAAGCCTCCGATTGAAGCGTTACATAATCTATATTATCCTTTCTTGTTGATAAAAAATACAGTATATTTATTCATTTTGTTTCTGCCGTCTCTATAATATTCATAAAGAAAGTATAATTCTTCTGTCAAGTAATTAACACTGAAACTGTGATACTTCTTTATATTTATCAATAAACAAACTTAATATTTCTCAAACCAAACAAACTCATCAATACTGTTGTTTTCAATTGATTTAGTAGTTGAAGTTCATATATCATCCACCCAAAGGATTATAGAAATAGCCATATATGAATGAGTTTTCTTGTTAAAATGGTGCATCCTAATACTAAAATCGTATCCTCCAATTGTTGAGGGGCACTTCTCAACCCACCCTTGCAGGCACATTCTTATAAAACAAGAATAAGAAGAAAAAGACTAAATTTTTTAAGTCAAACACAAATGCTGAAACTGTAGCTTATGTTTTTGGATTCATTGTATCATTATGTTTTAGTGCATTTGCGGGTCATTGCTCAACTGAAAATTCCTATGAGACAAAACCTTTATTATTAATGATATATTTAGTGTTTGTGTTGCCTACACCATTTGCTCGGTAGCTTTCGTCATCGGCGTGGTCGCGTAGTCATTTGTGTCACTACTTATCTTAACATTTTGCATTCCATGTTTAGACAAGATACTGATCATTCATATATTACTTTTAGAGGCTAAGAGATACGTGGGCCCCCAGAAAACCCTTGTTAAAGTAAAATTGGGCTAGGCCCATTTTTATTTCTTTTGATTCAGTTTCAAAAACGGACCTCAATTATTGTACGGAACAACGGTGGAAATATCACCTGACCAAAAACTAGCAATTTGAAACCTAATTTGCTTGACTGGTTTACAGAGAATAAAAATTGTTTCTTATATATATTTTTTTTCACTTTCTTGCATGTGCTTTCTTATTTATGCAGTTCTTTGGTTTCCACTCAAATTCACTACCATGGCCAATATTTAAATGCATTGCATAATATGGTAGAAATACTAAATGGTATTAGAGCTTCTTTTTTGAAGAGCTTTGTTACTCCTCTTATTCTCCTCCATGTTCCTTTTTCTTTCTTGTTCTTGTTTCTTTTCATCATCACGAGTGAAGAATTAACTAATTATTTTTTTAAAAACCCAATTATTTTGCTTGTTTCTCCCATCCTTGATGGCACTGTAACTGAATCAAATGGATGAAGGAAGATGCTTCTTACCAAACATATGGAAACAATGCAACAAGATCCTGGTATCTTAACTTGTCACTCAACCTTTCCTCCTGTACGAAAAAGTATCTTGTGCATGGATAAAGCAGTAGAGATCTGGAATGATCTTAAGTCCAAAAATCTTTCAACAAGATCTCCTAAGGATTTTAGAACTGTAAATAGAGGCTTCATCCTTCAAGCAAGGAGATTTAATACTCACTAAAATTTTCACCAAGCTTAGAATCATGCGGAACAAACTTGAGAATTTTAGGTCAAATCCTATTTATAACTGAAACACAAGATGTTCTTACATTGTTATTTCCTAAAAGTAAAGATCATATGATGCCATCTCTATGGGATTTGAATGATCAATATGACAATGTTAGATCACACAATCTTTTGATGGATCTATCCCACCTATCACTAAAACCTTTTTATTTAGCACAACAAGATAACAAATTGTTGGAAATACTTTAAATGTTGTTGTACTACTTATGACTTGTAGTCATTATGGAAAAACAAGTCACAATGAGTTCACTTGTTAGAGGAATCATGACTTTCCCTTTGATTATGAGAACACAAATTTCAAGATCTCAATGAACAAAAATACACGTGTTCACTATGGAAAGAATGAACACATGATTGAGGTTTGTTATAGAAAATATGTATTCCCTACAGGACATAGATTTTACAATGAAAGAAGTAATTATGTTAACACTTCATATATTAAGCAAGATACAAAATTGGATAGTGTTTTTGGAGATTAAAACATACATCGAAATCAATAACAATATCAAGCCTTTTCCTATAATCAATTCTTATAAAATGAAAGGTATAACAATTTAAATTTTTAATTCTGAAATTACTGGTCGTATTTCTTGTTTTCTTGATAATTTTCTTTCTTATAAACAAGTTAGTCCTATAACGATTAATCTTCTTAATGAAACTAAGGTCACTTACCACTTACATTGATATGGTTAAATTCAACTAAACCTTTTTGCTTAAAGATATGTTATTTATTCATTTTTTTTACATTTAACTTTGTCCCTGTCTCCAAATTAGTTTCTTCTTTTAACTATGATATTGTTTTTACTCCTAATTCTTGTATGATTTAGGATAAAAAAAAACCAAAAATAGATTGGTATAGTTGATACTAGTGATAATGATGACCTCTATCCGTTTAACAACTCCACACATTATGTTTATACTACTATTATTACTCCTAATTGTAATACTATAACTATTAATCTTTGACATGCTAGGTTAGGATATTTATATAGAAATATTAGCTATCTTGAAATAGAGACAATCTTACGTACGTTTTTCCAAGATTGGTGCATTAATTGGTGCTTGTAATGCTTGCCATTTTGCCAAACAAAAAAATTACCTTTCTCTAATAGTGTTTCTCATGCTTGTAAGCCTTTTGACTTTATATATGTTGACATTTATACGTTGATATTTATACGTTGACATTTGGGGACCTTGTTCTATTTTATCTGTATATGAGCATAATATTTTGTCACAATTGTAAATGATTACTTGTGATTTGCATGGTTATATCTTATGAATAACAAAATTTAAACCCGCATATATCTCATAAATTTTATAGCCAATGTCAAGAATCAATTTGAGTGTTCTTTTAAAATTATAAGATCTCATAATGAGTCTGAGTTTAGCATAAAAATATATTTTGATTTGGAGAAAATTATATATCAAACTAGTTGTGTGAAACACCTTAATAAAATGGAATAATTGAGAGAAAGTATTAACATCTATTAAATGTTATTAGACTCTAATATTTCTGTTCAGTTATGGTGATATGTTGTAAAATATGTTGTCCACTTAATAAATTGCATTCTCACACCTTTTCTTGAAAATTCTCTCCTTTTGAAAAATTATATAATAAGAAATGTGATTTTAGTAATATTAGAGTCTTTAGATGTTTATGTTTAACCGATAACAAAAGAAAATTAAATCTTCACACTCATGCTTATATCTTTTTAGGTTTTGAACCAAACATGAAAGGATATGTTGTTTGTGATGTTAAAACTTATAGTATACATGTTTCTCACAATGTGATCTTCTATGAAATTTATTTTCCTCAAACTAAAACTTCTAATGAAGTTGCTAATTTTTTTTGTTTTCTTCTTGTATCTTGTACTCACCATGATGAATTAATTGATAACTCTCTTGGAGAAATAAACAATGTTGATGAAAATTCTGATAACGAGGAGACTATAGACAATGAACCATAACTTGATGTTACTCGAGTTTCCCCTTCGCGAACTACCAAAATAAGATTATCTTCCCACTAATAACACATATTTTGTAAACACATTTATAGTTTTATTATGCAGTGAATGCACTTTTTATATGCTTTATTTTCACTTTTAAATCATTTTTAGTTTGTAGTAATGAATTGGGTTTAATGTACATATTTGTTTTAATTTTGCATTTTTAGTTAATCTGACATTTGTTCATGTTTTGGCCATAACTTTTTCTACAAAGATTACTTTTGCTTATTCAAGTTGTATTGGATTCTAAATTTCAAGGGATATCAAATGGATATATGGTTGGCTGGATTTGG